CCAGAATTGGCTCAAAAAGACAGTATCTCTGTCACTCACTATGGTGTTTGGCATTCCATGTAGCTTGAACACATTGTCCAAATAACTCTGAGCAACTTCCAATGCAGTATAGGGGTGAGATAAGACCATAAAATGGGCATACTTACTCATCCTGTCCACCACGACAAAGATAACATCCTTGCCCATGGACTTTGGTAATCCTTCAATAAAATCCATGGACACATCTTTCCATACTTCTGTGGGAATTTGCAGAGGCTGCAATAATCCTGGATATGCTGAGTTATCATACTTACACGCTTGGCAAGTTAGACACCTTCTCACAAATTGCAAGACATCTTTATTCATTCCCTTCCAGTAAAACATGGCTTTAAGCCTCTTCAGGGTGGCTTCTCTTCCTGAATGACCTGCTACAGGTGAGGAATGGCTCCATTTCAGCAGTTTGTCCCTGAGAGTATCACTAGGACCTACCACCAACTTTCCTTTTCGCCTCAACAGGTCCCCCACCAATGAATAGTGTTCCACAAATTGATTTTGTTGCAAGGATTGAAGACAGCTCATAATTGTGGAATCAAGTGCCCAACTGTTTTTAATGTCCTGTAATAGTGTAGTGTCAATGGAAGATAGTGCCAAACATAAAATTTCCGCCCCTGATTGCCTGGAAAGAGCGTGAGCAGCTAGATTCTCTTTTCCCTTTTTATATTGGATGTCACAGCTATAGCCCATGAGTTTAGATAACCAGAACTGTTGAAACGGAGTGGAGATTTTACTTTCTAATAGCCACTTAAGACTTTTCTGGTCAGTCTTAATAGTGAAAGGCTGTTGAATTAGGTACTGTTCCCATTTTTGTACAGCAAACACCACAGCTAACAACTCATTTTCATAGACTGATAGTGCCTGCCACCTGGGTCCCAATGATCTGCTAATATAGGCTATGGGATGTTGATTCTGCATCAAGACAGCCCCAATTCCCTCTTGTGATGCATCAGTTTCTACAACAAAAAGGCTTGAAAAGTTAGGTAGAGCCAATATAGGGGCACAACAGAGTGCTTCCTTTAATTACTGGAATGACCTGCCCGCTTCGTCAGACCACTGGAAAGCTCCTTTCTTCAATAATTATGTGAGAGGTTTGCTGATACTTGCATAGTTTTTGACAAATTTCCTATAATATCCTGCAAGTCCTAGGAAGCTCCTCAACTCCTTGACATTGTTAGGGACCTTCCAATTTTTGACAACTGTTACTTTGTTGGGATCAGTAGACACTCCTTGGGCAGATATATAGTGTCCCAAATATTCCACTTTCAGCACTCCAAAAGCACACTTACTCCTTTTTGCCAATAATTGATTTTGCCTCATAGTGTTGAACACTTCCCTGAGATGGATGTAGTGAAGTTCCCAAGTTGGACTATAAATGAGTATGTCATCAAAGAACACTAATACAAACTTCCTGAGTTGGTTCTTGAACACA